ATATTATAACAATTATTTAGTTTAATCCGTCTTATCACAATATTTAAAATTTCTTATAATTAAGATAATAAAATATCATTCATGTTCCATATCGATTGATCGATTTACATTTTGGAACAACTTAAGTTTTAAGTTCGTAGATATTTTACACCTGATGATGGTTTTATAAAAACTGAAACATGTTGTGTAAAATGTTCCAAAATTTAAATCGATCAATCGATATGGAACATCAATGATATTTTATTATCTTAATTATAAGAAATTTTAAATATTGTGATAAGACGGATTAAACTAAATAATTGTTATAAGAATTTTATAACTGAGTTGATTTAGTGTGAGTACCTGAACAACATTCTTTGTTTAACAAATAATCTTGTGTGCAGACTTAAACATTTAATATTCCGACGTTCAATCGGCCACGGCACAACCGCTCCAGTGGAAATTTTATCTTATTTTCAACACCAAGACATTAATTTAACTGATAGAATGGCAACACAGTGCTAAGATGCGTGGATTTTATGTATTCAGTATTTTATTGTTCTAAAGAATTTTTTTTAAAAAAATATTCGATGTTCATTATTATCGGTTTTCGATTAAATGTGGGGGCCAGAATATGGGACGTGGATTCCGAAATTTGTCGTCCAATACGTAAGGATATGCGGTAAACTGAGTGTATGGATTTTCAATGTGGACGTGTTGTGTGGTTAGGGACATTCAGTAACTTTACATTTGCACCGTGGCGCTCCATTATGACGTTAGGGAGATTACATTTCTACACTTTTTACAACACTGCGGCAAAGATCCTTTGGGAAAATGTTGAACAACGACTCTAGCTAAACTTTTAACGCTGAAAAACCTGCAGTGTATTTATCTGTAGAAAAATTTCAAAAGACCATTAAGGTGAAAGGGAGAGATGCAGGCCAGGGTACGCACACATTACAAAAGTCTCCATGAAAACTGTAATGTCGGAATGTACGAGGCGCGTCCCAAAAGTAAGTTTCCCTGGGGCCGTTTACAGAAACAAAACACAATTTCATAGAAATATTTATTGCAACAGATACAGCAAGTGTCCAGCTATTTTTCAACATATTCGCCACCGGAATTGAGACATTTGTCATACCGTGGGACCAACTTTTGAATACCTGGGGATCGGCGCTATGCTCTGTGCATTCAAAAACTTTATCACTGACCGCACTTCACAGTCGGCGGGAGCTGGAATAAGAATCTCCATCTTCAACAGCTGCAACGATGCTACTGTGAGAACGCGGGAAGTACCGTTAGTGCATGCGCCATGCTACGTCATTGCTCTATCACGTACGCACAGTCGCTTCGCTCAATATAAGGTTTGCTAGCTGTGGGACGAGTGGGAAACTTACTTTTGGGACGCGCCTCGTATAACGACGGGTATAAATATGTATTAAGTGTAAAGTATGTCTTTTCGAGATACACTTGGAATGTATTTCTTAAGTATAAAAGTGGTAATGTTTCCTGGGTCTTAGGTTCGACAGCCGATTACGCAACTGTTTTATGAGAGACAATGCCTGCAGATTTCACTCGTGTCTTGGACAAAATTATTATCGTGTACAACGAATCTACTCACTTCTACGATGAGAATCTTTAAAATATCTACGCCATTTAGCAGGGATTGTGCATTACAATGCGAGATTAAAGAAAGGAGAAATAATGATAAAATATGGAGATTTCGTTTTATGACAAGGGAGGAGAATAATAGATAAAGCTTACTAGAAGACATTTTTGACCGAAATATTTCGTGTAGTATCAGTAATAGACCAAAAACAAGTCTTTAGCTGCGTGTACGTACATCAGAATATTAAATTTATAAAGTCTGAACACTCTGTCACCTTTTATTCGAAGAGCAATGTTCAGGCAATGACATTTAACTAAATAATTATCTTAATATTTATATAAAATATATAAAATCATGCATACAGACAAAACTGTTTACAATTTGAAAACAACAATTAGTGCCAAAAGCGTTTCGACCTCATGAGGTCATTATCAGTGGCAAAAATATTAATTCATTAGTCTGTCTATTAAATCATACAATTCATAAGACGATGGTTTGTCATAAAGCTCTGGGCATAGAAAAGGTCGAAATTATAAAAAAAAACATACTTCATGTAATACAACATAGAACTTTTAATTGCACGTGAGTTGGTGTATTATCCAAATTGAGTTACTTAGCTTAATGTCCACTGGCCTAAATTGAGGTTTCTGTTATTGGTATTAACACTCACGCAACGTTGAAGTTGACAGGCACGGACAACGCAACCATGGCTCACCGTTGACCAACAACGGGAACCTCAACTTAGGCCAGTGGACATTAAACTAAGTAACTGAATTTAGATAATACGAGGTGCGATCGGAAGGTTTCAAGACTGCGCGTATAAAAACTCGTACACTTATCTCAGGTATTAAATTCATCCATCACCCTCGAAGTAGTTCCCCTGGGAGTGAACACAACGATCCCAGCGCCGCTGCCAAGCCTGGAAGCATCCCTGGAAATCTTTCTTGGTCAGCCTGTCAAGCACCATCTGCGATTCTGCCTGAATCTCTTCTATCGTCTCAAATCTCATTCCCTTTAGCTGAATTTTCATCTTTGGGAAGAGGAAGAAGTCACACAGAGCTGCATCGCAGCCAAGTTTGTGCCAAGGTTCCTGTCTGAGGACCAGAAGCAGAATCGCCTTGACTTCTCGTTTGTCAGGAGCTCAAAGATCTTGCAAGATCCGACCCCAACTTCCTTTCTAAGCTCTGTGTGACTTCTTCCTCTTCCCAAAGATGAAATTTCAGCTAAAGGGAATTAGATTTGAGACGATAGAAGAGATTCAGGCAGAATCGCAGATGGTGCTTGACAGGCTGGCAAAGAAAGATTTCCAGGGATGCTTCCAGGCTTGGCAGCGGCGCTGGGATCGTTGTGTTCACTCCCAGGGGAACTACTTCGAGGGTGATGGATTAATTTAATACCTGAGATAAGTGTACGGGTTTTTATAGGCGCAGTCTAGAAACTTTCCGATCGCACCTCATACACCAACTCTTGTGCAATCAACGTCCAGTGTGATATTACGTAAAGTATGGTTTTATAAATTGCCACCTTTTAAGCTTTATAATGAACCATCGTCTTATGAATTGTAATATTTAATATTAATTAAATTGTTTGCCACTGATGGTGCCCCCTTGAGGTCGAAACGCGTTTGGCACTTTTTAAAGTGTAAACAGTTTTGTTTGTAGGCATAATTTTATATATTTTAGATAAATATTGAACACTGCACGATGTGCAAGGTTTTAAGATATTATCTTCATGTATTAAGGTTAAAATATCTAAAACGTTCCACTAGCACAGTATTGAATTGTGGTTACGTAATGTATAGACCATTAAGTTACGGTGTAAAGTTCGCGAATGTTCTTGGTTTGTGAAGTATCTTTGGAGATTTTTCTATTGCGTGATGTGGGCGTCAACTCTGACTGCAAGAGGGCAAGACATGCTATTTGTGATAAGGCATTGAAACGAGATGAAACATTTCTGTGTAATTTAATTAAGATTTTAGTTTTGTTGTAAATACTTTTCTCTGAGAATCAGGCAAGATGTTTGACTTTACTAGCCGTTTAGGTTTGCAACGTTTTTTTGTGAACGTTCCTAGGTAGTGAGTCGTGGAATATCTGAAGTTACTGTATCAACATTATGACTCAAAAACTGGGGAAAACTGTATTAAATATCTGTTAGGAAAACGGTAAGTTCGGGAAGATTCGAACCAGGTAGGCCTTTGTCCTGAATAGAGGTCTGGAACTTTACGACGATAAAAATTTGCTCGCTACAAAGTCTAGAGTAGTAAAGTAAAATTACTTAAAATTTATCTAGAAGGCAATTTAACTTAAAAATAGTTCTTTTTCTGTCCTTCAGTTCGTGACTCAATTTGTGAGGTTGGATCACCTGTCCCTTTACTTTGACGAGTGGATGTTTATTTACATTTATTTATTTATTGTTTTATTTATCGATGCTGTGATTATCTCAGATTTAATTTATGGAGCCTTGTTCAGAGGACCTCATAAACGGTCACTATGCTGAGCCAGATTAATCCACGCTGGCCTTGTAAGCCTGGGGTCCCGGGTTCAATTCCCGGTGGTGCTCAAATTTATAACTTGTGTTGGGCAAGGCCGTGGTCTAGGCAACACGGAGTTTTCCTCCGTGGCATCCCAACAATTACTCCATTCACACACAGAAGAAGGCAATGCCAAACCACTTCTGGATCATCTGCCAAGAACGCATATGAACAGGTCCCAGTCCGAGAAAAAGATGGAAGGATCCT